CAGAAGGCCAAGAGACATAAGAAAACATGCTCAAAGTCACTAATCATCCGAGAGACGCAAATCAAAACAATGAGGTACTATCTCACACCTGTCAGAATACCAGTCATCAACAAATCAATAAACTACAAGTGCTGGCGAGGATGTGGAGAAAAAGGAACCCTTGTGCACTGCTGGTAGGAATGTAGACTGGTGCAGCCACTGTGGAGAACAGTATGGAGTTTCCTCAAAAAATTAAAAATGGAGCTCCCATTTGAGCCAGTAATCCCACTTCTAGGAATATATCCCAAGAAATCAGAAACACCAATCAGAAAGGATATATGCACCCCTATGTTCTCTGCAGCATAATTACAATAGCTAAGATTTGGAAACAGCCTAAATGCTCCCCAGCAGATGAGTGGATTAGAAAACTGTGGTACATCTACACAATGGAATACTACGCTGCTGTAAAAAAGAAGGAATGCGTACCATTTGCAATAGCATGGATGCACTGGAGAGCATTATGCTAAGTGAAATAAGCCAGTTGGATAAAGATAAATATCACATGATCTCACTCATATGTGAAATATAATGAACAACATAAACTGATGAGCCAAAATAGAGCCAGAGGAAAAAAACATTTTAGAATATAATAGGAGTAATCTTGTTATTTGCAGATTTTTAATCTTTCCTACAACTTTTGTGATATTATACTATGTTAGTACAGTTTTAGTAATATTATTACACTTAAAATCCTGTTTTCCTTGAAATATTAATTTTTATTGCATGTAATATTATATTTAGAATAGTTTTTCTTGAAATATCAATGTTTATTGCATATAACATTCATTTAAAAAAACTATTTTTGCCCTAACTGGTTTGGCTCTGTGGATAGAGCGTCGGGCTGTGGAATAAAAGGTCCTGAGTTCGATTCCAGTCAAGGGCATGTACCTTGGTTGCGGGCTCAATGCCCGATAGGGGTGGTGCAAGAGGCAGCTGATCGATGTTTCTCTCTCATTGATATTTCTAACTCTCTATCACTCTTCCTTCCTCTCTGTAAAAACCAATAAAATATATTTTTAAAAATAAATAAATAAACTATTTTCATTTACCCAATGTAGTCCTGTTCAGTATAATTTTATACTCTTTAAGAGCAGATTTTCTTCAGAAAAATAGAGTAAGAGAATTTAAATTTGAAGAATGAAATTGGTGGTCAAATTTGTAAAGCTCTTTGAAATGAAAACTAAAAAGATGAGAATTAAAAAAGAAAGAAAGAAAGCCCAAGTGTCAACCTATGAACCAGGAGGTCACAGTTCAATTCTGGGTCAGGGCAAATGCCAGTAGTGGGTTCAATCCCCAGTAGGGGGCATACAGCAGGCAGCTAATCAATAATTCTCTCTCATCCTCATTGTTTCTAACTCTCTATTCCTCTCCCCTCCTCTCTCTAAAATCAATTGTAAAGAACTCACTATAAACTTCTAAAATTAATTTAAAAAATTCAGAGCCCTAGCTGGGTGGCTCAGTTTGGGAGAGTGTAGATCTGATACACCAAGGAAGTGGGTTGGATTTTCCATCAGGGTACAAGCTGGGGGCAGCCAATGATACAGAGATGGGTGGAAGAGCAGAGCAATATCTCTCTCTCACTCTAAGAGCAATACATAAATATTAAAAAATAAATTCAGAAAAGTTACAGGATAAAACATCAACATACAAACATTAGTTCCATTTCTAGTATATGTGCTGCTGAAGCGAGCATGATTAGTTCCATTTCTGAACACTAACAATGAATTCTTTGATAAACAAATGAAGAAAGGCCCTGGTCAGTATGGTTTGGTTGGTTGAGCATCTTCCCATGAACTGAGAGGACACCAGTTCTATTCCAGGTCAGGGCATATGCCCAGATTGTAGGCAAGAATCCCAGTAAGGGGGGGAGGGGGGGGGGTCCAGGAGGCAGCTCATAGTTGTATCTGAACTGGATGTTTCACTCTCTCCCTCTCCATTTCTCTCTCTCTGAAAAATGAACAAAAACATTTTTTTAAAAACAAATGAAGAAAGTAGACAATAGCATTAAAATAAATAAAATACTGAGAAATAAATTCAACCACAAAGGTGAAAGATCTGTACATTGAACACTAGACTACAGTGATGAAAGAAATGGAAGCCCTAACCGGTTTTGCTCAGTGGATAGAGCGTTGGCCTGCGGACTGAAGGGTCCCAGGTTGGATTCTGGTCAAGGGCATGTACCTTGGTTGCGGGCACATCTCCAGTAGGGGGCATGCAGGAGCAGCTGATCGATGTTTCTCTCTCATCGATGTTTCTAACTATCCCTCTCCCTTCCTCTCTGTAAAAAATCAATAAAATATATTTAAAAATAAAAATAAAAAAGAAATGGAAGAAAACACAAAAAAGTGGAAAGATAATCCGTGTTCTTTTTTTTTTAATAAATATTTTCTTATTGATTTTAGAGAGGAAGGAAGAGGGAGAAATAGAAAGATCAATGATGAAAGAGACTCACTGATCGGCCGCCTCTCACACGCCCACCCTGGGGATTGAGCTCGCAACCCGGGCATGTGCCCCTGACCAGAATCCAAACCCGGACCCATCAGTCTGCAGGCTGTCGCTCTATCCACTGAGCCAAACCGGCCAGGGCAAAACATCCCGTGTTCTTGAATTTGAAAATGGAATATCTTTAAAATGTCCCTACTAGCCAAAGCAATCCCCAGATTAAATGCAATCTGGATGAGAATTCCAATGTCTGAAACCTCAAGAGACTTCAAATAGCAAAAGTCACCTTGAGCAACGGACCTGGTGGCATCACACTTCCTGCCTTCAATCTATCACAGAGCCAAAGCCACCAAACAGTGTGTTACTGAAATACACCCAGAAACACACACCAATAGCAAAGAACATAAACACAGGAATAAACTCAGGCACATAGGTCCAGGTAATCTTTGACCTAAACCACAAGACAGGTTAAGTAGAAAAGGATAGTTTCTTCAATGAATGGTGCTGAGAAAATGGATATTTACATGTAAAACAACAAAACTAAACACCACTGATAAAAATTAACTCAGACTGCATGAAACCATTACATTCCTCTCTTAATACCTAAAAATCCTTCAAGACAACCCAGAGAAAACACTTTGGAGATGTGTTTTGGACAAGATTTTTTGAGATGTGATACCAACCTCCAGGCAGAAAAGTAAAACCAGCAGTCCAGGCTACAACAAAGGAAAGAGCTACTTCTCAGCACAATAGCAATTAACACAATGAAATGAAAAGGCAATCTCCAGGACGATGGGAGACCATACTTGCAAATCAGGTGAACTTATGGAAGATATTGTGATTTGACTCAGATCAGCTCAGTAAAGCAAATATCAGCCCCGGACGGTCAGCCTCAGTGGATAAAGCGTCAGCCTGCGGCCCTTAGGGTTCCAGGATTGATGCAGGTCCACAGCATGTACCTTGGCTGCAGGCTCCCCCCGCCCAAATCTGGTCAGGGCGGGTGCAGGAGGCAACCGATCGACCTGTCGCTCTCCACATCTATATTTCTCTGCCTTTTCCTCTCTTTATCTCTCTCTAAAACTCAATAGCAAAATATCCTCAGGTGAGACTTAAAACATAATAAATAAATAAATAAATAAATGAGCTAATATCCAGGTATAGAAGGAAGGTCATGTCATGTTAACACTATAATGAAGGCTATGAAGAACACAATGGTTTTACTGAAAAAACTCTAAATAAATTCCTTAAAAATACTTTATCAGGCCCTAACTGGTTTGGCTCAGTAGATAGAGCATCAGCCTGCGGACTCAAGGGTCCCAGGTTCGATTCCGATCAGGGGTATGTACCTTGGTTGCGGGCACATCCCTGGTAAAGGGTGTGCAGGAGGCAGCTGATTGATGTTTCTCTCTCATCGATGTTTCTAACTCTCTATCCCTCTCCCTTCCTCTCTGTAAAAAAATCAATAAAATATATTTAAAAAAAATACTTTATCAGTAAACACTGGTAACCAACATCTGAGCCTGCCTTAAAAATAGCCACACTAGATTTCCTGAATGAAGAGTTCACCAAAACATGGAATTTGTAAATAAAATAAGAATGCAATATTTGGGAAGAACAACTAAGCAAATGCTAAAAGTCATATGCCTTAATATATAAACTGGAAAAGGAATTCAAAAGACTCATTAGCCAAAAAAATATTGTTACAATTAGGACTAGGGCTGTAGAGACAATTTTCAAAAAAATACGTACAGCCCTGACCGGTTTGGCTCAGTGGATCGAGCGTCGGCCTGCGGACTCAAGGGTCCCAGGTTTGATTCCAGTCAAGGGCATCTACCTTGGTTGCGGGAACATAACCCAGTAGGGAGTGTGCAGGAGGTAGCTGATTGATATTTCTCTCTCATTGATGTTTCTAGTTCTCTCCCTCTCCCTCTCCCTTCCTCTCTGTAAAAAATCAATAAAAAAAATAATAATAATAAATAAAAATAAGTACAAATGACCATCAGGAATATTAAAAAAATGCTTTAACTCACTAGTCAAGGTGGAATCCATTTGGCCCCCTGACACACTACCAACCACAATCCTTCCCTAAGAGTTTACCACAGCAGGTTTTGTGACTAAAGCAGTGGTTCTCAACCTTCTGGCCCTTTAAATACAGTTCCTCATGTTGTGACCCAACCATAAAATTATTTTCGTTGCTACTTCATAACTGTAATGTAGCTACTGTTATGAATCGTAATGTAAATATCTGATATGCAGGATGGTCTTAGGCGATCCCTGTGAAAGGGTCGTTGGACCCCCAAAGGGGTCGCAACCCACAGGTTGAGAACCGATGGACTAAAGGGTTAGAATAGAGCAGTACAAACAAACCCAGCCTGCCAACCACAGCAACTGCCCGGAAAAGTGGAAAAATCAAGCAATGTATACAGTCCACAGGTGAGGACAGAGTACTCCTAGAGGTGAGGGGGGGATGAGGACATGCAAAGCCAAGTCTCCAGAACCAGCCAGAGTGGGGGTCTTACCCAGGGAGGATATAAGTTCAAAGTTCTCCAGCATCACATTCAGGTACAGCTGTCTCTGACTCTCATCAAGGAGGCTCCATTCCTCCCTGGAGAAGTACAGGGCAATGTCCTCAAAGGTCACACCAACCTGTCAGAATGGAGACAAATGAAATCAGAGCTGTCTCTCTGAGAACCAGTAATCCTACTCCTTACTCATCATCCCCACCCTCAACCTCCTCCATGGCACCCCAATTTAGTGTGGACACCAGGCCCTAATGCCAGTGCAGGCTGCTCTCTCATCACAGTCCCATTAGTCACTGATATTGCCCTCAGCAGAGCAGCTGTGTTGGGAAGGGGGACAGCAGAGAAACATCATCTAAGCTCTGGGCCATGCCTGCAGGGCCCCAGCCTTCCTGCCAAGCAACACCACTGCAGTCTCCTAGATCCTGCCTCCAAGACAAAGCCAAGCGTTGTGATGGCCCTCAGCAGAGCAGCTGGGTTGGGAAGGGGGACAGCAGAGAAACATCATCTAAGGCAGCTCTGGGCCATGCCTGCAGGGCCCCAGCCTTCCTGCCAAGCAACACCACTGCAGTCTCCTAGATCCTGCCTCCAGGACAAAGACAAACCTGGGCTTATGCTTCACCCTTTAATCCTCACACCGGGTCCCCGGGACCATCAGCTCACACTTCCTCCAGATGTGCACACCACTGGGTAATGTCTACCTCCTTCCCATCTCAGACCCCAGGTTCACTCCCTCAGCTCTGCCACCTCCCTGTTCCACAGCACAGGACCTCTCTGCACTCACCCATGAACTTGGCACATGGCATCCAGAGAAAGCTTGAGAGGTTCCAGAAGGATCTGGCACAACCCCAGTTTCCTGTTGGACCCCACAGCCTGGGGAAGGCAGGGCATGCGGCTCAGAAGTCCTCCCTTCCCGTCTCCGATTTTTGACTCAATACTCACAGCCCACATCCTCAGGGAACCTCAGGTGCGAGTCACCCCCGTCCTCTCTGCCCTGCACTTGCTGTGTCCTCAGAAGCCACAACACTCCTCTCTCCCCTCCACCTTTGGCACATGGCATCCAGAGAAAGCTTGAGAGGTTCCAGAAGGATCTGGCACAACCCCAGTTTCCTGTTGGACCCCACAGCCTGGGGAAGGCAGGGCATGCGGCTCTGAAGTCCTCCCTGCCCGTCTCCGATTTTTGGCTCAATACTAACCACCCACATCCTCAGGGAACCTCAGGTGCGAGTCACCCCCGTCCTCTCTGCCCTGCACTTGCTGTGTCCTCAGAAGCCACAACACTCCTCTCTCCCCTCCACCTTCCTCACGGTCCTCCACGCGGGCCTGAGCTGCAGGACGTGACAGGCGCCCGCACCCGGGCTGTCCTGTTGGGTGTGAGGAGGCGATGAGGACCCGAAGGGACACGCACTCACCTCAGGCCTGCAACTCAGCTCGGGCGCCGCCATTGGACTCTGTGGGCAGAGCGGGGCCTGAGCCCCCGGAGAAGAGGCCGCTGCGGGAATGGCGGTCCCTGGCCCGGCCCTGATAGCGACTGGGAGCTTCAATCCCACATGTGAGCTGTGCGCGCCCCTGCAGGCTCCCACCACGGGCTGTGAGGCGGGGAGCATCACTCTCCAGCCTTCTCCACGGGACTCTGCGACCAGGAACTCCTGACCGCCTGAGAATAAAACTGAGAGAAGACAAAACCCCGCCAGGAGGCCTACCCGTCCCGCCCTACACAAGTGGCCAAGCGGAAACGCCTTTCCTGAGCCTCCATTGGCTCATCCCGTTGTCATTCCACGCCCGGCCTTCTGGGTAATGTAGTTCCTACGCTCCAAGTCCAGGATCCTGTATTTCCACAGCTCAATCCAGGACTGGATTGGGGGGCATATAGCTCAGTACACACCAAGTATACTAAGTGTCCTCCAGCACCTTCAGCGGATGTGATTTATAGGGCAAGTTTGTTTCCTGGGCACCTGTGAGGCTTCCTTTAGCTGCTGGTTTTGCATATCTTTCTTCAGGACCAGCTCTTTCAGAATAAGAGGCATTTTTTTTCTTCATTCAGGCCATTAGGCATTTGTCTCCTTCAGGCCTTATGTTGCTGGGGAACATTGCTCCTTTCTAACAAGAACTATGTTGCCTCCATTGAATCCACTAAGCAAAGTTAATGTCACAAAACAGACACTAATACTTCAGAGCATCTGCTTCTGATGCCATCAGCAGTGTCAGCTCTGCCTGGGCTGCAGTGAGGCTAGAGCAGGGGTGGGCAAACTTTTTGACTCGAGGGCCACAATGGGTTCTTAAACTGGACCAGAGGGCCGGAACAAAAGCATGGATGGAGTGTTTGTGTGAACTAATATAAATTCAAAGTAAACATCATTACATAAAAGGGTACGGGCTTTTTTTTTTTTAGTTTTATTCATTCCAACCAGGCCGGATCCGGCCCGCGGGCCGTAGTTTGCCCACGGCTGACCTAGGGCCAGGGGGAAGGGAACAATGGGGACAATGCCACTGGCTCTAATTATTCATCTATTGCAAACAATAGAGAACATGTTGAGGACATCAGAGACATGAATTACAGGCTGAATCTCTGAGGGAAGGCAGGAGAAAGTTAAAAAAAAAATCTTTAGAGGATTAAACACACACACACACACAGTCACCTGAGACTTGAGCATTTTCTTCTGTTCTCTGAAAGCAACGAGAAAGCTCTCAAAAAACACTTAAAAACACTTTATCAGAAAACACTGGTAAGCAGCATCTGAGCCTGCTGGAAAAATAGCTACACTAGGCTTCTTGAATGAACAGTTGCCAAAAACATGGAATTTGTAAATAAAACAAAAATGCAATATTCGGGAAGCACAATTAAGCAAATGCAAAAAAAATATACCTTATTATGAACTAGAAAAAGTATTCAAAAGACTCATTAGCCAAATAACATGGTTAAAAATAGGATAAGGGCCCTGACCGGTTTGGCTCAGTGGATAGAGCGTCGGCCTGCAGACTGAAGGGTCCCGGGTTCGATTCCTGTCAAGGGCATGTACCTTGGCTGCGGGCACATCCCCAGTAGGGGGTGTGCAGGAGGCAACTGATCGATGTTTCTCTCTCAGCAATGCTTCTAACTCTCTATCCCTCCCCCTTCCTCTCTGTAAAAAATCAATAAAATATATTTTTAAAAAATAGGATAAGGATGTAGAGACTACTTTCAAAACAAATACATACAAATCAAGAACAGCAGTAAAGCATATGCTTTGGTCAATACTCAAGTGGAATCCATTTGGCTCCTCGCCACACAACCAACCACAAACCCTTCCCTATGAGTTCAGTACAGCGGGTGTTGTGAATAAAGGGGCAGAAGGGAGCAGAGCAATCAAACCAACCCTGCCAACCACAGCAACTACCCAGAAAACTGGAAAAATCATGCAATGTATACAGTCCACAAGTGAGGACAGAGCACCCCCTGGAGGTGATGGGGCATAGGAAATGCAAAGCCCAGTCCCAGAAACCAGCCAGAGTGAGGTTCTTACCCAGGGAGGATATAAGTTCAAAGTTCTCTAGCATCATATTCAGGTACAGACATCTCTGATCTTTATCAAGGAGGCTCCATTCCTCCCTGGAGAAGTACAGGGTAATGTCCTCAATGGTCACGCCAACCTGTCAGAATTGAGACACTTGCCATCCTTCTCTTTACACACCTTCCCCACCCTCAACCTCCTCCAGGGCTCCCCAGTTTAGTGTGGACACCAGGCCCTAATGCCAGGGCTGGCTGCTCTCTCATCACAGTCCCATTAGTCACTGTGATTGCCCTCAGCGCAATAGATGGTTTGGGAAGGGAGACAACAGAGAAACACCATCTAGTTTGGCTCAGTGGATAGGGTGTTGTCCTGTGGACTGAAGGATCCAGGTTTCCAGTCTAATCAAGCCCACAGGCCAGTTGTGGACTCAATCCCCAGTAGGGGGCGTGCAGGAGATAGCCGATGGTTGATTCTCTCTCATTACTGATGTTTCTATCTCTTTGCCTCTCCTGCCCTCTGAAATCAATAAAAAAATAAATAAATAAATAAAT